TCCTGCCACTAGCACTCTGGCCCTCTTCCTCATCACAGCTCCCTTTTACGGGCCTTCCCTCAATGGAGGGTTATGACAGAGCCTCCCTGCTTTGTGGATGCTCCCTGACCCCAGGCCTCAGTTTTAAACAAAAGATTCTCTGTCCAGATGGTGTCTGTTTCTGGCATACTAGACACACAGTATGTCAAAATGAAGTTCTCTCCACCTCTGACCTGCCCGCCCAAGAACTACTACCTCACCAAAGCCTACAATTGGACTTGAGGCTCCCAAGGGCTGTGGCTTTGTCCTGAGGGTAAGGCTGACCATTTCTATCTGGCTTACCTTTTAGAAGCATTTTCAGTCTCTCTTCCTCCATGGGGGAGCTGTGTTCAGCTTGCTGCTGTGTGTTTTCTGTCTTTGTTTGGACTCTCCTCTGATGGCTTTCTTTGTACATCTCTGAATCTCCTCTTCCTTCACTTCTCTCTTTGAGATAAGGCTTCTTATTTTGAACTCCCCCTTTTATTGGCTCAACACAGAGGCAGCCTATAGTTTCCTGTCTTACCCAGAAGTCCTTAAATCATTTTAAGAAAGAATCTCACTATGTAGCTCAGGCTGTCCTCAGACTCCTAATCCTCCTGTCTCAGCCTTCCAATGGTTGAGATTACAGGGGTATACTGCCATGGCTGGCAGTGTAACATAAAAATTATAGATGCTAGTAGAGGGTGTGTGTGTGTGTGTGTGTGTGTGTGTGTGTGTGTGTGCGTGCTAGTGTAGGCACGTGAAGGCCAAAGAACAAGTTGCAGCAGTTGATTCCCTTCTTCTGTTATGTGGATCCCAGGGATTGAATTCAGATCATCAGGCTTGGCATCAGGTGCCTTTAACCACTAACTCGTCCAGCTGTTTCTCTAGTAGCATTTAAAAACAAAAGCAAAACCCGGTGTCTCACATTTTAGTTGCATGATTATAGGCATATACAAGACTTGCATCTATTTCTTTTTAGTATCCATCGCTATTATTTATTTTTTCATGTCTTACTGCTTAATTGAATCCCTAAAACAATGTTAATAGTGGTGACAGCATCTTTGTCCTATTCTTGAGTTTCCTAGAAATGCCTTTAGCACTTTTTATTTTGTATGCTGTCTGCTGGGTTAAGTAGCTGGCATTTACTGTTCCCTGAAAAGCCAGTAAGACTGAATCAAACCAAAAGGATGCTGAGAGAAAACAGAAAATATTTTAAGAAGACAGGGATTATGAGCTACAGTTAAAGCTCAAGATCAGATCACTAGCTTTAAGAACACAGAGGCCACTGGCTATCTTTCCCCTAGATAGCAGGAGTGGATTAAAAAGAGAATGGAGAAGTGGAAACAGTAAGAGTAGAAAACTTTGTTTTGCCAGATTTTATTGTGATGGACTGAGGAGAGAGGAGAGATACCTAGAGAAAAGTCAAAGCAGGTTTTTGGTTTGTTTGTTTTGCTTTGGCTTTGGTATTTATTTTTGTTTTTAGACAGGGTCTCACGTGGCCTCTCTTGGCCTCCATCTTCTGTGTTACCAATAGCCTTGATCTCTCACTCTTCCTGCCTCTACTTCTCTTTCTGGAATCATGGTATCACAGGCCTAGCCCTAGATTTACTTCTGAAAGGTCAGCGACATTAAACCACTACAGCTCTTTATTACATTTATTGGGGGGGGGCATGTGTAAAGGTCAGAGGACAACTTTCTGGAGTCAGTTTCCTACAATGTAAGTTCTGGATATCAAATGCAAGTTACCAGGCTTTGGCAGCAATGCCTCTACCTGCTGAGCCATCTTGCTGGCCCTTAAACCAGTTTTGAATGCTGCTCTGCATAATCCTGTAGTGAGGAAAACTGGTAGAGGGAATGGGAAGAATTTTTCTAGAAAGATGTTCTGGAATGAAGAGGGAATGAGACTGTGCCTGCAAGTGGCATTTGAATCAGACACATAAGGGGCAGGTGTGTTTATTTATTGGTGAGTTAACAAATTCTTAGAGATTATTAGAGATTGGACCCAGGGACATCTCCACCCTAAGCCAGCTCTCTGTCCCTGATTCCCAACCCTGGCCTAGAGCAAGGACAGCTTGTTTATAGTCATAGGAGGGAAGGCAGAGCACAGCAGATGGACATTTGGAAGTGTGCCGCTGTAGTCACTCTTCCTTGGTACACGGGAACATCTCCTAGGTAATTCTGAAGACCATGAAGGCTTCTGCTCGCCAAACCACAGTTAGGACCAAGCAACCCAAAGAGCCTGCTTCCTCCTGTCCCCAAGTCTGCACCCGCATCTTGGATTTCATCTCCACCATAGAACAAAGGCATATCTAGAACAACCTGAACCCACAGTGGAGGGGGCGTGGCTTCTGATTTGTAGGCCTGAGGCCTGACTGAGGCTGTAATGATCTCTCAGGTGTGCTTCATTTTCTTATGGATGGGCTTGAATACTTGTGTGTGTCTGTGCACATTTCAAAAGTGGCACTTCCTTCAGATGCAGAAGGGCTAAAAACAGAGGAGAGGAGAGACAGGGAGACAGAGGGTAGAAGAGAAAGGGAGAAGAACAGGAAGAAACAGGAAGAGGGAAAGAAGTAAAGGGAAGATGGAGGGAGAAAGAGAGAAGGAGGGAGGGAAAAGGAGAGAGGGGGAACTTTGCAAAGGGATATAAGCTTACTTGTCATGCCCTTGCTGAGGACACCACCACGTAGAAGCCAAGGTTTAGTAGGTTTCTCAAACCTGACCAGTGGTCATCCCTGGGACTGAGGCCACATGCAAAGCCACTGTCCCTCCAGTGATTCTGACTCCTCCCAGGGAGTAGAGGGCAGGGAGCAGAGACAATTGTTTCGTGGTCTGGAGGCTTGGTTTTCCTCAGCACCTAACCCTGAGTCATAGTGAATGCACTGATCTGGGGCATTTTCTGTTCCCATGTCCTCCAGGGCTGCACAGACGGCGGCTCCCTGGCCAGCCACTGAGGTAGTCTGTGTGTCCAGACTACCAGGCAGTGGCGCATGGGACAGAATGACCTGGTGAACTCCCTGGCTCCTTAGTTCCAGCAGCTGCTCTTAGTGACTAACACCTGCTTCCTCCAGCTCTTTCTTCAGGTGTCTTCCCTGGGGAGCGAAACCAAGGAGGCAGTTGTTTCCCAAGAGCAGCGTCCACACAAGACAGACTCCGCAGGAGAAGCCTGATGGAAGGCGCCTAGACAGACACCCCCGTTCTTATCTGGTCCCCTGAGCAGCAGTGGACCCTGATATGCAATGCCTGTTTCATAGTCTCTCACCCCACAGTTTGGAGGAGGGCCATTTGCTATGCGTGAGCCATTCCCTCACGCTGATCACATGGAGAAAATTACATTTCCCCAGTTGCCAAATGGAAGAGATGAATTTCTCACGTGGACGAGGTACACTCCTGCAAAGAGCGGTTTCCAGAGCCCAGACTCTGAGCTAGCACACACGGAGGAGGGGAGACTCAGAGACCCCTGCTGCCTTGGGTCATGCTCTTCATCCCCACCCACCAGACCCTCAACTGGTGGATTTACTTTGTGAGATATTTGCCCTTCTCTCTCTTTTGCATAAAACGAGCATCTTGAGGCCTCTTTTTCTTCCTTCCTAGAGGAGATATTCTAAAAAGGAATACATCAACAACAAGAACACTTCATTTATGCATACTAGATGAATTGATAATCCTTGTTTGTAATGAAAATCAAGTAAGCAGAATGTTAAAATGTTCCCTAGGGAAGGCACATTGAAATGTCTGACTGCAGATGGACACACCCTTATCCCTCGCCTTCTCTTTTATGCTAACGCAAACCGAGATAAACCCCCTTCTCTAACCTAGTCCCAAACCTCCTGGTCACCTACATACATATGATTAATGACAACTATATCTGCATAGTAATTACATCTGCCATCTGTACCCTTTATAGGACGACCGCTTGCTACAGCGCAATCCCACAATCTCTAACTTTTGTGTTTTTTTTTTAACCCATGTTACCCTTAGCGCGGTTACACAACCCGAATATAATCTCAGCTGTTACGGAGTATCTAAGCACCTGCAATTGTACCGCTCTCCGGCTCAGGTTGAGATAGAAATAAAGCCTCACACAGCAGACTCTGAACTGTGCAAGCGCAGCCCCCGCCCCGAGTGTTTTGGTTGGGAGGAGGAAAGGCTCGGGGGCAACCAAAGCCACTGGTGACCTCATTATACAATATTTAGTTCATCACATTTTTTTCCCCTTGCTTAGTTAGGAAAGCAGCTTTTTCTTTTAAAGGGATGCGGGCACTCAGTGACGCAGCTACCTGCTGGAAGACACCTCCAACACCAGTCACCACGGAAGTTTGGGGTCTGAGGCTTCTCAGGTTTTTCTCTGGCTACCGAAGTCTCGGTTCTCCTGTGAGTTTAACTTGGACTCCGCGAACCGGGACAGATGAACGGCTTAGGCTGCATACCCAACGCCCACTAGCGTGACCTGAGCTCCCACAGTGACCCCTCGACCCTCAGCCAAGGGGTGGCTCTCGCCCACGCGGGTCTCCCCCTGCCTGGAGCGGTCCAGTTCCAGCCGGCTCTTTCTCTCCGCCCTCAGTCTCAGCGGTTACGGTAGAGAGGGCTGATCGGGAGAAAAGACCAAGCTCCGGGAGAGCTCCATTTCCCGCCAACCCTTACTCCTGGACAGGCCCTTGAGGGCACCCCCAACCCATTCAGGAGTGACAACCGGCTGCTAGAGCGACTGAGGCCCCGAGAGAGCAGGTGCCCGGCAGGAAGGCCAGGCTGCCCGGGGACCGGGCTCCAGGCAGGAGGTGCAGAAGCCGGGCTGCTCAGGTGAGGCTACCCCCCTCCTCCGGTCTGGGTCCCGGCTGGGCGGCCCCCGGGCGGTTGTGCGGGGACCCCGTTGTCCTTGCGCCGCAGCAGGTGGGGGCCCGCGGGCTAGGGCAGGGGCGGGGCTGGGGGCGGAGCCGCGGCGGAGGCAGTGCGGGTGGGGGCCGGGCGGGAGCCCAAGCCGGACTGTCGGGGAGCCGGCGGGAGCTCGCCCGCGCCTGGGCCGGAGCGATCGGGCCGAGCGCGCCGGCGCCGCGGCCGCAGACAAAGGGCCGCCGCGCTCCGTCTGTCTCGGTGAGTGACTCCCCTGCCCGCCCGCTTTCTTCTCCGCTGCCAGCGTCTCCCGGAGTTCCGCCGGCTCCCGGGAGCCGGGGACAGCAGGGACCGGGACTTCCCGGCTCACTCTGCACCCCAGCCTCACCTGACCCGTGATCTCCCGCCCCCCGCCCCCCAAGGCCGAGCAAACACCCAACTCGCGACTTTCCCAGCGCCAGCCATCGTCTCCGGCGGGACCCACCCCGGCCGCCCTCGGTGACCTCCTCTTCCTCCGCGCAGCGCGCGCGCCGGTGTCGTGCCTGGGTCGCCAGTTTGGGTGGGGAGGTTGCCGCCGGGCTCCCTCGTGGGTGTGTGCTAGGGGAGAGGAGCGAGGGGATGGCCGCCTCGAGAGGACCCCACCCCTTGGGGACAGCGCGCGTTCGGGGTGGTGGAGGGGCGGTTCGGGAGTTCTGCTTCCAGATCTGGGGGTCTGGTTTAGTTCCCTGTGAGCCTCCCCTCCCCAGTTTATCCCCCCTGTTCAGGGGTTAGCCTCGCATTCTGCCCCGGCCGCACCCGAAAGAGGCGCCCCCTCTGCGGGCCGGTGGCCCGGAGAGGGAGAGGACCCGGCTGCTTCCCCTGGCTGAGCTGCACTGAGCCCGCAACTGCTGGGGAGGGCAGGCGGTGCGGGCAGCCACCGGGGGCTGACATCACTGCTCGGTCCCGGCCGGCTTCCTCAGCCTCTGGCCGGCTCCATCTCCATCAGAAAGGAGCCCGAAGCCCGGCGGGCTTTGGCTTTTGTTCTCCTTGCTACTCTTGGTTCCTTGGAGAATCCCGGCTGGGCGGTTACCCGAAGAAGGGGTTGTGGTGAGAGTTCCCGGTGCTGCCCTGAAGTGACAGTCGTTGGGGGAGGCTCTTTCCAGCCCTCGAATTCCGATTGCCCATCAATACCTCAGAGCGGAGGTGGGTATGGCTTCCCAAAAGAGCGCGGTTCCTGCCTCCCGCAGCGGCCGCTCTGTCACGCGCCTTTCCTGCACTCTCGAAAGTGCTACCTCGAGACGTGCATTTCCATTCATGGATCTGTGCCTGGGTTTTGATTAATGTCATCTCTGCCAGGTTGTCTAAGTGTTGCCTGCTATTAGATTTTTGTAGCCTTTTACTGGAGGCCTACTGGGTGCGGGGCAGCTTTCCTAAGATTAGCTTAATTTCAGAGATGCTTGTTGAGCACCTACTAGGTGAAAAACGGATGCGCCCTGACGTTTATAGTTTTTGTCAGGTACTTGTTGAGTATTTCCGATGTTTGAGAAAGCTGTGTTATGACCTTGTTATTATAATCATTATTTACGAACCCAATATACAGAAGACATTTTTGGCCGAATGGGTGCCCAATGTACTTGCGGTGCGCGCGCGGGGGTGGGGGTGGGGGGTTGGGGGATTGTGAGGGGAGTCGGGGAGGAGGTAGGGGGACGGTGTAGACAGAGACAAGAAGGGGAGAGTATAATGGGTCTTCAACTTCCGGAGAAAACTGCCTTTTAACTTCTGGTGTGGTGTGAAAAGACCTTGTCTCTACCTATCAGGCAACTTATGCTTGAATGCTTGACAGCTGCTCTGAGTGGAACAAGGCAGAATAATGAAAAGAAAGAACTTTGCCAACTCTAACAGAATGAAACAAAGTTTTATGTGGCAAACCCCTAGTGCTAAAAAGGGGAATCTATGTTGAAGGCAGAAAGACATACAGGTGGACAGCCAGCTCAAGAAGGAAGGAACCAATAAGGAGGGAGGGAGGGAGAAGAATGGGGCCAGCTGTACTTCCTTCATCGCTCGCACTGGTACCATGGCCAAGGGAGTGTGTCCTTTAATGAGGAACCTGTTAAGAGATTTGAGGAATTGTCTCCAATCTTGCTTTAGACTGGCCAGAAATTGTAGATTTTTTAATATGATGGCAGATATTTGAACCTTCCTGCAATCAGGGAAATGTAATCTAAGACATAGTCCTTGTCCTGCAGAATCTGATAGAGTTCATGAGATAAACTTGTAAAATGGCAGTCTGGGAAACAAAAAAGGAAATCCAGTAACATGCTTTAAAAAACCAAAACCAAAACCAAACAACAACAACGCTATAGAATTGTGGCTTTTCTTTGATCAGAAATGGAGAATTTCCATTTGTTCTGTATGTTTTATCTCTTGACATGGACTTTCTGCAGTTTCTGGTAACTGCTTAATCCCAGCTTCTCGACACAATGAACTTTTCTTCTCATAACTATTTCTGATTTCCATTTTAAATTCTTTTAAAACTACATGGCATTATTTTTGTTAGGAACTTGAACCTGCCCCACCCTTCACCATCCTTCTTCCCCCCCCCCATTTTTTTTCTGGAAGTTAGGCGTGTTAGAAAAACTTCATAGAAAATATGGTGAGCTCCAAATGAGCATGCTCCCAGGCTCTGTGCTCACTAATGAGGAAAGAGAAGGAAAACCAAAGGAGACCAACAGTAGGGATTTCTAGAGAACGCGTAAGGTGGCTTTGCAAGACAAAAGAGGACTCCAGTTGAGGGACCTGGCGGGTAGGAGTGTCAGGGAAAAGAGGCCAGCTTTCAGCACCCTTAGAAGGGACTAGGTCTTCATCTGGAGGGGTTTCCCTTCATTCACCGGAGAAGTGCCACCTGAGAGACTTATGGAGTGTGAGTTTGTTAGGCTTAAATGTGGGCATTACCCAGTTGGAGGTTTCATGAGATCTAGTTGCCCAGCCCTGCAACCTCCCACCCCCAAACCCTCAACCCCCCCCCCCCCCGCCCCCGTTCCCCCATTCTTTCAAGCATTCCTGAAGTGTTTTCACCTGAGCTGAGCTCCACTGTAATCTTCCTCCAGGCCAGGAATTTGACTTCTTTTTCTCCCTGCATCTGTCCTTTTCTGCATGCTGCTGCAGGCAGTCCTTGGAGTTGGTGACACTTCAGTGTCTCCTGCTCTGCCCATTTTTTTACCCTTTCCCTCTCTGCTCAGGTGCTCCTTGTCACCATTTTGAGCTGCTTGAGCAAGGCTTGCTCTATATGAAAACTGGTCTCAGGGGGAAGCACTCTGTTACCCATCACTTTGTCCCAAATGTGACAGTAGGTCACTGTTCTGTCTTCAGGGGTCTTTGTTCTTTAAGCTTCTTTAGGGAGTGAAGGACTACCACCTCCATCCTTTGAGGATGCCAGGGGTTGGAAGTTACCAGGTAGGCAAGGTGCCTTTCCTGGCACTCCTGAAATGATTACTCAGTCCAGGGTCCTCACAGTCCCATGATCCATACACATCTGGAAGCTTCAATATTTGTTTTTTGCACCGGGTCTCAATCCTCCTCCTACTACTATGCTCACTGACCTTGAATTTCAGCTTTTCCTTTCTGAGCTTTCTGGATGTGGTATTAGAGATAATGCTCCACCGTGCCCAGCTCCCTTTCTTTAAAGCAGCGTTTCTTAACCTGTGAGCCGAGACCCTCTTTGGGAGGGGTCAGAGGATATAAATATCCAGCACATCAGATATTTACTTTATGATTCATGACAGTAACAAAATCTTGGTTATGAAGTAGCAATGAAATCATGTTATGGTTGGGGGTCACAACGACACGAAGGTGACCCCCTCAAGTGACAAAGGGTCACAGCATTAAGAAGGCTGAGAACCACTGTTGTAAACAAAATTTCCATTTTTCCCTCAGAGGCTTCATTGCTTTCTATTGTGGGGTGGGAGTTGATGTCAGAATTTAGCTCTTTGTGAGCCACCTGTCAACTTGGCCTTCACATGCTCTCCCCCAAGGTCTATAGACTTGTTATTTTACAGTGGGAATCTGCTTCTCTCTCCATGAATACCCATTCTTTTAAGACAGATTCTTTTTTATTTTAATTTTTGTTTTCACAATTTATTCATTATATCCAGATTGAAGCCCCCTCCCTCAACTCTTCCCAGTCCCACCCTCGATCCCTCTTCCCCTTTATACCCTTTCTCTAGTCCACTGAAAGGGGGAGTTCTCTTCCTCTGTCATCTGCCCATAGCTTATCAAGTCTCATCCAGACTGCCTGGATCCTCTTCCTCTGTAACCTGGCAAGACCACATCCCCAGGGGCAAGTGATCAAAGAACAGACAATTGAGTTCATGATAGAAGCAGCCCCTGCTCCTGTTACTCGGGAACCCACATGGAGACTGAGCTGACAATCAGCTACATCTGAGCAGGAGGTCTAAGGCCTTTCCATGCATAGTCCCTGAAAGGCTTCACTCAAGAGGGCATTGAAGCAGATGCTGAGACTCAGAGCCAAACTTTGGGCAGAGTGTAGGGAGTCTTAAGGAAGAAGCGGGGAGGGATAGGAGGACATGGAGGGGACAGGAGACCAACAAAGCTAAAACCTGAGCCCAGGGTGTCCTGCAGAGACTGATGTACCAATTGAAATAGATTCTTCAGATTCTTAACCACAGTTCTCAGACTTTGTGATTCCTTGTTGTAGGAGTACGACAGCTTTCTTCACAGAAAATACCTTATCTAATGTTTAGTGATGTTGACCTAATGTTTGCTGGTAGCCCTATATAGTCACCCTTTCTAAATGGTGACAACCCAAAGTATTGCCAGGTATCAGCAAATGTCTCCTGGGAGAAAGGTTACTCTTGTCTGAGGACCACTGTTTCATGGAGTACTGGATAGTATGTATCATGCTGTAGGATAGCTATCTGGGAAAGGCTTTAATTTATTGTCACTTGCTTCTTTTCAGCTGAACTGACTTAATGAATGTATGATTAACTTTGTAGGACTTTCCATATAAATACTTTCAGATCAGAATTAACATTCTCTGTCAGCACACATACTCACATCAGGTCATCAAATTGTTAAGTTCACTTTTATTTTTTATTTTTTACTTTTTAAGGCAATTCTTCCCCTCTCAAATTCTTCCCTCAGTGCCGAGCTAATTTATCTACCAGCAGTGTGGGTGGCAGAACCACCTTTGGCAGCCAGCATACCCTGCAGGAGCCCCTGAGCCTGCTGCTTGGGTAGTAGCTGATGGGCAACAGCCGGGCAGG